AACTTGCCCGCGAAGGCAAAAAAACAAAACAAAGAATGCTCTGAAAATATAGAACAGTTCAACAATGCGACTATGTAATGATAAAAAAGTGTTTTTCCTCTTGGTCGTTTTTTGTCCTTTGTGTTATATGCTGAAATCTCACACTCTCTGGTAACTGTGCGCTTTATAATTTTTGAAATGCTAGGTTTCTTTAAGCTTTGTCTTCGTTGTGTTCACACTACGAGTTTCATAAAAAAAAAAACATTTAACTTATGACGATGGGAATTTCCGATTGATAGACTACCCTAAAGCTACAAATCCAATCTAAACGCACGTTCATCCTTCTTTCGTTTACTGGCACTTTACGGAAATGACCCATCGCTACTGTTCATATTATCCACTCTGTTTGCTTTTATTAAAATGCAGATAGGGCATTCAAATAATGAAAAGAGGGCAGTGCGAATAACTGAGGACAAAGCTTGCAGTCGTGTAGCCTAAGAACGCAGCCAGATAACAGTTTCAATTCAATATAAAAAACAATTGTCAATACAGAAAGAGGCGTCGGTTTGTAGACCAAAGTGCCTTGGGCACTTTGGTCTACACTCGAGGCAATACTTTATTTTATTTTGCTATAATGACTTCTGAGCGATAGGAGGCTCCGATATACTATGAAACAATTGTTTTTTGAACTCACTAGAGCTCAAAACTATATATGTCCTAATATAACATACTAAGCATAAATTAGCCTTTCTTATCATAAAGTGGTTCAGAAACGAAAATTGCTTATACGGCTTTCACGTGTTTTCCTCTTCAACTATACATTTTTCTGAGGAACGGATTGTGTGACCTTTTAGTGAAGAAATGAAAGAAATCTAATGAATAGATATCCTCTTAGCTGGGCTTCCAGATTCTGAAACGCAATTCGAAGGCAAGCCGGAGGAGTATCAGAGTGGATAACACAAAAGAGAACGTTTAACCACCAAAATCTTCTAAAGTTACAAGCGTAACAATAAAGAGTATTGATCTCCGAATGATATACATTTCCAAAGAAAGCATAATTCCCAGACAGCCCATGATCATTGTACATTTTATTTTTATTTTTATTGTAGCAAACGCTGTAAGAGGCGGATTGAAAGGCGAAACTCCATGTCGTGGTTAACATCAGTTCCCCAACCAAGTATTTGTGTAATCGCAGCTCTTAAATCTGACGCCTGAAGTGTTTGTAATATTAAGTTTTTTTTTGTCTACCGGAATGCACCAATTATTTACCTGTTGAGTCGCGGGATATTTTTTCAGAGATATTAAAATTAACTAATAATAACATTACTGTTATTATTGTTATTATTATTATTATTATTATTATTATGTTTTTCCCAAGCCCAACTGTTATAACTTTACAATGGTCTACATACTAATATTCATTCTTCCAGGCAAACAGTCGCAATCATCATTGACTTTTCAAAAAGCTTCGCCGGGGTCCCCAAACTAAATCAATATCCACTCTCACGTATCTAAACGTCATCCCTAACGTTGTCTCCTAGATTAAAGCTTTCCTGTCGCAGCGTGTTCAATCTGTGTACGTCGATAATGCCACTACCCCTCCTCTGGCGTCGCCCAGGGTTCTGTTCTAGATCTGCTACTTTTCCTAATTTCTACACATGTAATGGCGTCTTCATTATATTCTACAGTCTGATTATATGCTTAACACATTGTGTTCTATCGAAATATTTTTTCCATTGAAGACTACATAACATTGGAACAAGATCTCGAACCATTAACAAATTGGTGCCATTCATGACCATCAACTCGGATAAATGTAAAATAACGTAATTCGTATGACCAGAAAACAAATTTGGTTTTTCATATTATATTTCATCTGATGACATGAGCGGGTGAACACGTTTAAATATTTAGCGGTGTACCTCTCTCAAGATTTATCATGAAAAAGTGATGTCGACTACATCTGTTCTAAGGCTAACAAAACATTCGAAATGTTAAGAAGGCATATGTTATTTCTCGCGAACTCCTTTGTTAAATGTTAAGCTTACATTACGCTAGTCAAAACTAAACTGGAGTGTGCTTCAGTGTTATGAAACCCTCATCAAAGCAATTTAATTAACCAATTGGAAGCTGTAAAAAATCGTGCTACTCGCTTTATCACTCGTAACTTCTCCTGGAATAGCATCTATTCTTTAAAACAATTCATATCCGTACAAACTCTCGACACCCAAGAAAAATAGACCGGCTCTCTTTTATGCACAGATTGTACTGGAACCCGTGGTCTCCAAGAACTTTTATTTCTCCGACACACTATATATCCTCTCGCCTCGATCTCCCCTGCAAAAAGTGGAATCCACATTTTGAAAAACCAACACATTTGAATGCTCACCTGTGCCGTTATGAACATCAGATTGTAATAGCCTGCCCTAAAGCTTGATAACTAGTAGTAATTTAAAATGTTTTTTTTTGCATAACTTTGTAAATTGTTTGTGTAATGTTTATATCAGGCGGTTTCCTGATCTCTTCTTTTTTTTCTTTTGTTTAGGGTTTATTTTTTCATTATAGAAAATTTAATTTCACGCTTTCCTTATGTAATGCCTCCCTCAAGAGGCCTTAAGGTAATAAAATAAAATTAACTATATTAATGAATAAGTCTTCATTAAGAAAGTCTAAAACATAGAAAGATGTTTAAACAGCAGTAGATGCTTTATTACACAATGTCTCTTCCCGAAACGTCGTAAAATAAAGCCTCTACTGTTGTTCAAACATTTTTTCTACGTAATAATAGGAAACAAAAATTAAAAGCTGGATTAAGATTTAAGGCATGTCCGCCTGCCGGTATACCAAGGGCTGCACATGAGACTTCCCAAGCTTCGCAAATTGTTTATTATTATCTTTTTTTTACACGTCTGATTTGTATCACAGTATTACAGGTTTGTGGTATATACAGAGACTGCGGCTGTTATAGTTAATTTTTTTTAGCTTGTGACTTCAAAATAAATTAGAACTTTTCCTTCTCTCAGATATAAGGAGCGATTCGAAACTTACATTTCCATCAAGTAAAGCATTTTTATACGCTTGTGTCCTTATACATGGAACGTGAATACTTTCCCTTCTGTGGCAGGAACAACTCATAAAATAAGACCAACGAACACTACGAACTCAAAATGTTTCGTTTCTCCTTAAATTCAGTAGCAGTCGAAGCAAGTGATAATGAGCCCCCTTACGCGGTCTTAATTGATTTTGGGTTAGCTGTAATTAGGTGTGTGTATTATTGCCTTTACTACAATCAATCACATAAATATGCGTTGGTGATTATCCGAGATTCCGTGTGGATGTTGTTCCAAATGTTTAGGCGTTCCGGTCTAATATAAAGAAGAGGTAAATATTTAAACTTTTACCATAATGAGACCAATTGATATCAGCCAAAAAGCGGGCTAACTCTACTCTTTTTTTATTGGTACTAATGTTATAAGGCTTTTCGTCAAGCTTAACTAGTTGCATAAGGTTTTCACCCTTCGGTTTCTAGTTGCACTTTATGCTAGGTTTTTGGCATGAATATTGAAAATGTTATCAAATTTAGTGCATTCGTGATTTTTTCTAGTTCTTTACGCCACTGCCCCACTCCTAAGGACCAGTTAAAAGTAATAGCATAGCAGTAATAATATTGAGGCAATACTAAGAGAGAGAAAAGAAACGTTGCTTTTGCTTCAGTATCAGGCATCAGCTGTAGAGTTGGTTTTTCGACTCCCTTGTTTCTTTGTGCATTACAAACTACTTCGCGTTTGTTATACTCAACCCATAATAATGTAGAATATGCGCTGTGTAGTGGCTCATATTTAATGCGCGCTTGTGTGATCATAGATAGCTTGATTTTTGTCTGCACCATTGTTCATCAGGCAGGTCACCGATTATCATAGCTGATGCAATTTATAGCATATAAGCACATTAGTATTATTGTGTGACTGAGACAATGGTATTCTTGTCCAATGCAGAAAAAAGTTTTGCACAGGCCCAAGCCCGACATATTTTATGTGCACCAGAATGATCCACATACAAAAAATATATCACGCTGTCTCAATCTTCAACGTCTTTAAAACTCAACCTGTATTCAAGCAAGATACCCAAGTATGCAATTATGAAAATAATTGTACTAGGTGAGACCTACCAGGAAATTTTACTTGGTTATCTAATTAGAGTGAAGAAGATTCTGCATTTAAAGCAAAGTCAAGTGTCCTAGAGGGTAAAGCCGGATTCAGGTAAGAACGGAATTTGTTTTTATCTGACGCTTTTGAAACACTCCTTGCCTCGCGACACAACTAACACCTTCAGCCGTATCACACTTGTTCCGGGGCTGGACTATGTTCATACCTCTCGCGGCGAGTCCGCACCGTTTCCTCTACTGTTTCAAGCTCACGGCCTGCCCCCCCCCCCCCCCCCTCCTTCCCCCGCCTCCCAGTTGGCTCGCGTTTCAATCCGGGGAAAACCAGTCCCAGTATCGTTGCACGCATTGTCATGTAAGACCCGTCCGGACAACTCAACCCGTGGCACAGCCGAGGATAAAGAACTAGATTTAAATTGTCTGGTTATGGAGGCGGAAGCACTGCGGCTCAGCCTTTTTTTGTACGTTTCAGATGGTTGGTATTCTTGCCGAATAGTTCCACCTCCCTCTCCAACTTGTTCTCAGTCACTATATCAGCATACAAGTTCACTAATTCTATTCAGTAAAGTAAAGCCGTAAGTCGTGTTCGAATAGATATTTAAAAAAAAAATCGAAGACCCTTTTGTTTTTTCTTAGCTCGCCGTTGACGTGTGCTTTCCAAGGACGTGCACTGTTGAAACGGCACTAAAAGGCATGGATCGTCGACTAACTGGACAACGAGATAGCTTCCAATCGGTGGTGAAATTTGATTTTGCTTCCCTTTCCTCCCTTCCTACGTGATGTCGGGCGCGGTGTTGGCGCTACCCAGACGGAACTGTCTGGTATTGTTGCCTCATCGTTCCTATAAAAGCTGACTCCAAGGGAGCACGGAACCACAACTTCATCTGCTTTCCGACCAAACGGAGCTAAAGGGATCCCAAGATGTTTAAGGTGAGCACCCAAGAAAACTAAAGTTTTCTAAAACCCTGGTTGATTTTTCTTAAGGTAGAGGTAAAAATGCCTTACTCAACGAGTAATTTTGACTCTTCCGTTAAAGGTTGTCCTCGCTGCCTGCCTCGTGGCTTATGCCGCTGCCCAGCTTGCTGAGCAATATGTAAGTATTTTTCAAGAGACAGATTACCGTCAAGCTCCTTGGTGTTTACTTCTCAACAAAATAACTTCGTATGTCTTCAACCTGAAAATTTATGGTTTTAGTAAACAGCTGTATGCCAGCATTTTACTTGGCTATTCCACATGCTGTCCTATAAAATAAAGAATATGTAATTAAAAAGTTTTCGAAATAGCTATTTATTACCAATGTACTTATCTTCGGCTTCTCTATGGCTTTCCTCTTGTTCACCAGATAATAAACAAAGAGCTCAACTTCAGCCAAAGACGACACGCATTAACCAAACAAACAGTAGTGAACTCTTATTCAGGCAAATGTTTGGCAATGTTGGCGCAAAGTTGGCGGATGACAACCGGCAAACCAGATCCGAAACCAAAGTCTCGCACTTGTTTCTTTTATTTAGGCACAAAAGTGATTGATAACAGACTAACTACCAGACAGTGAAGGACCAAAGTTTTTAATGCGAAAGCATTAACTATGGATGGAGCTAAGTCCGCAATGTTTGTAATAAAAAAAAAAAGTAAAAACGCGAAAGAAATACTTATTTTCCCGTTGGCTCAGTAGAACTGCTCCTAGATAGACATTGGCGGCCGCTTCACGAGAGCGCGCGCTCAGGCGCCGCTCTCGTGGCAGGTGTTGCCGGAGTTGGGGTGGGGGGTTGCGGCCGTCTACTCCACTACTCCGCAGACGAACTAAGGGAGCGGAAGAACGACATTCATGCTTTCGTATTCAGAACTGATAAGAAATGCTTCGATGTCGTCAAAATGTTCCTCAGCAACCCGATTTTTCTTTTTTTAGTTAAGACCAAACAATAAGATTTGGGCCCAAAACTACCGAGTTGGCTTCACCTTGGCTTCTCTGGGCTTTTCGAGGCCCCGAATTCCCAGACGAAAGCGAAATATTGCTCGAAAAACTATCCTACTTGGGAGTATGCGCGAATAGAACTAACCAAAACTGGCGACTCTTTTTATTTTGGCAGCCACCCCACCCATACAGCTTCAGTTTCGAGAGCACCGACGATACCGGTGCCCGCATTTCCCAGTCCGAGTCCGGTGACGAGAGCAACTCCAAGACCGGTTCCTACGGCTACCAGACCCCAGACGGTGTCTACCGTACCGTGAACTACGTCGCCGACGCCACCGGCTTCCACGCTTCCATTGACACCAACGAGCCAGGCACCAAATCTGAGGCCCCAGCCGATGTCCAGATCAACGCCAACCCTATTGAGGTCAAGGAAGCCTACGCTTTCAAGGCTAAGAGTGCCTAAGGCACATCGAATGACTGTAAATTAACGCTTCAAGCACTGCCGCATCTTCTTCCCACCTTCAAACTCAGACGTTCTTGTCGACATCTTTCTCAGCGTGTAAGCTTGCCCGCCACTACTACTACTACTCATATTCCTTGTCCCATCTTTGCGACTTCTCTCTTCTGTCCACTTCATATTCTGTAAAAAACAAATCTACGCAATAAAGTTTCTCAGACAAGGAAAATATATCTTTAATCCTTTCAATTCGTCGTGTTTTCGGATTTGGTGGTGTACAATCATTACGAAATGAAACCTGAACGCCGGAACGCGTGGCCGCTGATACAGAAAAAATAGTCAGAGTGCAGGCGAGCTGGTGTAAGTTGAACATGATTGTAAACCTGAGACTGGGGCAGGTAGAGAACACAACAGAAGGTAGTAAAAGAGGAGGCAACGTCTTACAACTTACACATTGAGACGTTGCCTCCTCTTTTACTACCTTCTGTCGTGTCCTCTTCCTGCCCCAGTCTCAGGTTTACAATCATGCTGATACAGGCTGCTCCACCTGGAGGGCCCCTGAGAACTAATGAAAATGCACCGGGGTTCGAGAGTGCGGGGCCGCTAAGATGAGCTCGACCATCGCGCGGCGCGTCTGGGAGTTCCGCGCTTCGCCTGTGGCGCGCTGTAAGCCCCGTCATATTCGATACAAAAAGCACTGTCACTCGCTTTGTGTATCGGATCCCCAGCGATATCTCTTCAGCGCTGTCATTCATTATCGCTTTGTGTATTGCAAGGGCGAAATTAAAGTTAAAACATTTCGTGCACAGAAGACCCGTAGTGCTCGATGACATGTCACCGGAAACAACGTGCCACGCGCGGTTTCTGAGAAATAGTGAAACGTCATAAGCGCGAAATAAATTTCGTTTATTCCCGCACCCATATTCTTTATAAAAACAAAATGCTGCAACAGACCGACGCGGATGCCTCGGCTTTATGAGCAATGTGCATTTTTTCGTGCGAGGTTATCAGTCGATTCTTAAAAAAATCGAGAAATTGCTCGCTGAGGTTCTCTTCGGTAACCACCGATATGCCAGGCGTATCAATTCCGGAGTGGAATAAATTCATTACCCTGTCTGAGGAGGGCCTATCGCGAACAGCTATAGCCAGGTTAAGCGGCCGCCCGGTGTCGACCGGGCGACAGTGCAGCGACAGAAGAGCACCCCTAGTGACGGCGGTTACAGCGCGCCACCGGCGAAACGCGAAAGTCCCAGACTCCCAGCGCGAGGGTTGGGGATATCTTAGTAGGACCCGCACCCTCGCACCCAGGAGCATTTTCATTAGTTCTCAGCGGCCCTCCAGGTGGAGCAGCCTGTATCGACGGCCACGCGTTCCGGCGTTTAGGTTTCATTCCGTGCTGATTGTACCTCCCAATAAAATTAACGGACACTTTTTTTCCACAGTCGTCTGCATCTCTTCGACGTGTGTTGTTCAAGATATGACACATTATTGCCAATGACAGCTTAATAAAACGCAATCCATGTCTTATCGTGCTCGTGCTTTCAGGTTTGTTATTCGTTCTTTTGCGTTCTCATTGTCCGATAACGCACAGTAGTGCGGAGAGCAAGTCATCGCTTCTTGCGCAGGAGTTGGGGTGCCTTCAGAAAGACGTCGAGCTCTGATTGGCTCTGATTGAAGGATAGTGGGCAGACCTTAAAGCAAGCTGCCTTGAGGTCTGCTCCTACTATCCTCCATTCAAGACTAATCAGAGATCGGCGTCTTGACGACACCACAACCCCTGCAAAAGAAGCAGACGAACTTGCGCTCTGCATTGTTTATAAAACGGCAGTGACATATGCTCGGGACACACCACGCCCCACGTTTCCCAAGCTGTGAGTTACAATATATCTTAATAGAAATAGTTGCAAGAGAAGCTTCGCTTACAGAATAAGATCGTTATGCTCAATGCCCCATGCGAAGAGGCGGATAAGCAATTAGGCTTAGTTTCGTTTCTGTTGACGCCAGTTAAAACGATAATGGCGCCTACCGAAGCTCCTTTTTTAACGTTACGTCGGGCGAATGGTGCGTTCTTTCACTGAGGGGTGTGTTGACACTGGGAGTCAGTACGCCATTCTATTTTTCTGCTTCATATTCGCATGCTGCGGTTCGGCGCTGGAAATTTGAGCAAGCGTTGGGGCAATATTATCAATATTTCTTACGACGGAACGTATGTCTGCAGGTAATTCAAGAAGGAGTCAATGATTATTTTCTAGATAATAAATACGTAGCGAATAACGGGGTCTATAGTCGTGGACAGCTGGAGAAACGCAGGGCGTGGCTTTTGTGTTCACGTTTCTTGTTTTGGAGCGATAATTAAATAACCGGGATTGCCAACACTCTGCTTTCGCTAAACGGTCAGTGACTTAAGAGAGCAATTCTATTCGAATATACCATCTGGGCAGATACCACTTTAGCGTGGCGACGACATTTTTGTATCCTACAGGGCGGTTCGCACATTGGCGTTTGGGCGTGATCGACTGCTTTGCGAGCGCCTGTAAATGGCTTAGGAAGACATAAGAAACTCGCGCCATCTCTCGGGCAGCCCGAAATGATTTCAAGCGCCCGGAACGGAGCTTGGAATTACTCGGTCGTTTCATGCGTGCCATTTCTTATAGACAGTTCTCAATTTTGATATCATATATACCGCAAAACATACAGTGCACTTGTAAGCGGGTCGACCGGGTTTCAGGACTTCCTGATAGATGGCGCTTCAATTTCAGTGTCCTCTTTTGTCATAAGTAGTCAGACGAGGTTGCAGCAGAGTCTGTCGCACTCGAACGTAACTGTGTAATGCGGCTATAAATTTATGAAAATCGTTCGTTAAGCTGGCTTTTTTCGTGAACAGTACGTGAGTTGCACGATGAACATGTTTACTTAATGTCTTCCCAACGTTAAGATATGCTTTTAAGTTTAGCGTTACTCCCATCAGGTCTGAAATAGTGTGCCGCTCGGGAAAGCAATGGCAGTGCGCTTGATTTGCCAATGCGCAAAAGTCAAGTTACCAGCAGCATAAGCAGGTTTTCAGGTAACGTATATGAATAGAAAAGTGCCCTTATAACCCTTTGCTGACACTGAGCGATTTCCAAATCCTTGTTTCGGAACTAAGTCGAGATTACTGCGTTGCACCAGTTTAGACTAATCATAAAAAAAAAATAGATAGTAAATTATTTCGAGCAGTGCCATACGTACCCGTTAAGCCCCGTCCCAAACGCCAGGCGTCGCCAATATGAATGCGACTATGGCCGCTATCGGCTTTTTCCAAGGTTCTTCTGAAATGAAACGACGTGTTCAACATATACGCGGAGAAATGGGAGCCAGAGGATGTTACAATCCGTGTCCGCTTCGTCCTTGGCTCGGTTTGTCCTTCTAGATGTGAAACGTGCGCGGCGGTTCGAATCGTTTTTTCCCCCTTCGACAAACGACTCCGCACGACATGAGTTACTGAGCCTAAAGCACAGCGGAAGCCAACACAAAATTCAACATGTGTTTCTTCTTCGCTAAAAAAACAACTTTTTTACTTTTTTAAAGTTTTGGTTCTTATCAGGTCTAGCGGGTTCAAGAAACACCTAGAGCTGTCGTAGGTATCTCATTTTTCACGGAATTCTTATGGTTAATTGTGTGGCAGCGTTAACAATGCTGATCAAATCACAAATATTGGCATAAGCTTATTTAATTATTTATAATGTATGAGAAATAATATAATGGATTCATGACAGACCTGCAAGTGCCTACAGCTTCTGTGGCACCATACGAGTTTTTTTTTTTTTTTTAGTCACGTCATTTAGTTGAGCGTACATTTTTGTATTTATAAATTGACAACCCTGGAGCACATTGCCGGGTTTCGCCGTCCATCAAGCAAACATACGAAACCAATCGTTGAGGACACTGCTCTCCTAATAGCTGACTAGTTCGCTTAAATTTGCTCATTTTGGAAAATTAAAGGGCGTCTCTTCGTTTCAAAGAGCCGTGAAATTACAATAGCATCATTTCTGACTGTGCTGACGCTCAAGGTAATCACACTTTCCACTGAAAATGCTTGCGTGGTGTTGGGGACAATTTACACATGCATCTACAAATTTAACCATCTGTAAACGTGCAACTAAAAACGTCTCAAGTAACACGCACAATGGTCGGTTGCAACTTGTTTATTTGAACGCCGAACGGCGCTACAACAAGCGATCAGACAAATCTATAACACGGCAATAAAAACAAAACAGGAATGAACATGCATCGCAATCCACGGGTCCTTTTTGCCGTTTTTCGTTCTTCGATCAAACATGGAAATAATTGGTAAGGACATCCAACAGGTTAACTTAGCGGCTCTTAGCACGGCCGAGGGTGTATGTGAGCGGAGCATGAGACAGAGCAACTGGTGTCACGTGGTGAGCGGTGGCGTACGAGACTGGAGCAGCGTGAAGGGCGAGCGGAGCAGCGTGAACGGCGTGGAGGGTCACCGGCGTCGAGTGGACGGCGTGCAACGTTATCGGAGACGCATGAACCGCGTGTACTGCCACCGGTGCCGCGTGAACAGCGTGGACTGCAACCGGAGCGGCGTGGACTGTGTGAACCGCGACAGGTCGAACCTGAACGCGGGGTGGGTTCGGAGGCGGGGCAACCTTAGGGGCACTTGAGATGATCTGGGCATCGGCTGGGTAGTGGGTCTCGGTGCCCGGCTCGTTGGTCTCGACTACCACGTGGAAGCCGGTTGCGTCAGCAGTGTACCTGACGGTTCGCTGGACGCCGGTGGGGTCGGTGTAGCTGTAGGAGCCGACCTTGTTGTTGTTCGCATCGCCGCTCTCTTCGTGGGTCTGGCGTGTGCCGTACTCGTCGGTGTTGTCGTAGTTGAAGTTGTACGGCTGGGGCGGCTGTTCCAAGAAGAAACAAAACAGAAACGATGCATGATATGCACTACAGACGGTGTTGCCGTATTCAAACGCTTAAATATACATGACACTCTGATCTATTTTTTAGTTGGCTAATTTCATTTGTACATTGTGCAGTTATACAATTAACTCCCCCCCCTCAAAAAAAAAAGAAATAAAAGACACTTTTTGTAAAGTATGTAATGCAAGGAAGCGAGGCAATAACCGCCTTCTTTGCTATAAACGAACATCACGAAATATGTTTTGGGGTCTGCGCTATTGCGAGATCTGTGTGGCTAAATATTGCGACGGTGAGTTAGGGCCTGTATACGTTTTAAATGCACTGCACAAAAAAAAAAAAAAAAAAACTCGTAGTATTTAAAGGTATGTTGAATCTCCAACCGAAGGGACCTGTACAGTATTTTGGTCAATACTCTAAACAAATTATTTCTTGTGGGCTTAATATTTCGCGATTTAGGTCAATGCTGAAGTTTTGGAATAATTCGCGGGTTTTAATTTTTAAGACGCGATGGGATCTCAATATAGATTCCAATGTGTTTACATTTTACAGGAATTGTTCGCGGGACCTACTTGCACGAATCGTAGGCGATTCGTGAAATTCACGAAAATTAGGTCCTTGCGAAAATTAAGTTGTTTAGAGAGAATAAATGAATACTCATACAAGCTTGAGAACATCGTGAAGTATTCCGTTTTCCATTGTGGTGTACCTTTGAAGTTCTTACTTTGTTACTCGTATTCACGGAGTACTTGTTTTCCTCGCTGTAACTTCGTACGTTCTTATCCGCCTTCGTCAGGCTTTTTCTCTTCCTCACTCTGCGTTATTAGGTCCCTCCCTATAACATACATCTCGAGATCAACTCACTGTTTTTTAGAAACATTTATCTAGTTTCCCGAACACCGCTCATCCGCCGTCTCCTTCTACTCACCCCATCGGGATCCCTCTGAGATGCCACGAAGGCGAAGAAGCAGAATATTATGACCTGAAACAAACACAGCACACCATTAGCCATCTGTAGCTCCTCCGCGTGCCGGGCTCCTGTCTATCCATAGAATCATCCGATGTGGCGACTGTGCAGGAAACAACTCAGCACCTTGGAAAACATGTCGGACCAGCAGCGCGCGTCGTTCCTCCCTGTCGTGGTCAAGTGGTTTTGGTGACCCAAGGCTTCGCGGAAGCGCTTTTATATGAAAGGCGAAGCATTCCAATGAGTCTTCGACTCATCGTTGGCCAGTGTCCTCGGTCCGCTGATAGGAAAGGGTTCGATTTTTAGGAGTCTTTCGGATGTCCTCACGCGAGCTTTTGCGCCACACGGCATAAGAGGGTAAGCGGGAGGAAGTGCCATCTCTGCCAAGAAGAGTTGGCCGATCAGATAACATCGCCCGGGGACACTTTAACTTATGCACGTCCTTCTTTCCCTCTCTTGCTCGACATTGTAAAAGTGACTTCTGCATTCGGGGGAGAGGTGCTCTCGATAACGGTGCGTGTCTTTAACGTGGGAATCTATAGGAAACGGGGAGGCAGATGCCCGCTCGGGGTGACGTCAGATTGTTTCTTTCATAAGCGCTCCTTCTTGAAAACGGAACCCAGCGTCGAATGCGAGTCACGTTTCATACGCGTTATCTCGTGCAGTAAAAATAACACCCGATAAGTGGTTAGAATGACAGTATGTGAGTTGACAGTCTTCGGTAGTTTTATGGCTGTCGTTACTTTACGTGTTCTCAGCTGCAAGACATCTGCCAGACAAGCAGTACAAGGATGTTTTTTTTTTATACTGGCAATTTAGTGTAGCAGCTCTCGGATTGAAGTAGCATATACCGAGTCTATCTTTTTTTTTTAATTGTACTTGGGCGTATGTAGCACAAGGAGTCACATATAGAACTTCAGCCAAGACCAAACAGATTTAACAGCTCGGTCTCTAGGTTATCAGAAGTGCTACACTTCCAGTACCATGTTTTAAATTTTGCTACTTATTTTGCAGATGAACTCGTAAGTTTCACAAACAACGTGTAATAGTGCATCGGCTCTGTTTAATTTCCTGGTGAAGTTCTCTTGTGGTTTTCTTCTCGGCTAACACGTGTCGTTCGTTCAAATATTTTTTTTTTCTTTAGCGCAACCTTGTCTTCGACATTGGAAAAAAAACGGGTATGTCGGGAGCCAACCCATCTAGGGTCTCTTCTCTTTTACGATAATCCCTACAAATTGGCTCGCTCCCTCGCCAGTGTCATCTGCCAATACGCTTCAACCGGCCGACATGGTGTTTTTTTTTTATATTCCTGCAATTCAGGGACAGTGCTACATGTCCCAAACGTTTATCAGCAACAAAAACAAGCAAAAAGATACGCAAGTAAGCAAGAAAAAAAATCACAAGGGTTGTTATTGATACTTCGCATAACTTGTTTCTTAATATTTTTTGATTTTTTGTTATTTCGGTGGTAAAATTTTTAGCATTATGAAAGCTTTACCTTTGAGCGAGATATCTATAAATATCTAAAACATGATAATAACTGAATAACTTTAGCTGTAAATACGCGGAAGCTATCGTGGGATACTGCAATGTGTATCTCAAAATAAATATTGAAATAACGGCTGTGATGTAGGGCTGTAATAGCCCCCCCCCCCCCCCCCCCCCCCCCCTACGAGGCACGTTTTATCAAGTTTTGAGCACATGTCTCCTTGAACTATCCTGATTAAAAAAAAACATTTTTTCCAATGTTTACGTGCCAAAACAACGCCCAGAAAATTTGGTACGCCCCATCGAAGGACTCTAGATTAATTTAAGCCTCCTAGGAATTTTTTCGTGTACAAACTAAATGTCAGTTACATGGCCCTGTTTGCCATAAGTACGGTAAAATGCTGGCTCTTCTGGTGGAATAATTGTTCATATATTAAAGCCCAGGATACCCGTTAAGTATACACACTGATCTGGAACGCCGGTGACAATAATTATTTGCATAGCAAATAAACCCGACGTTGTCTAAAGAATATCTCGCAAAACGCATTGTTAGCATGTTCTGAAAAGACTTGCTTTCTTCACTTGGCAGAATGGCGAGAATCTGGACTTCGAATTTTCGCCGAATTAGTATCCTTTCGTGTTATGATAATAATAATTGGGGTCGTGTGTATATTTATACAGAGTGTAGTTCGTCAGCCATTTCAAAGTTGTGACAAGTCACTTGCTGTAGATGAGCATATTAGCCAGTGCAGTACAACCGCTATCCTGGGTCTTTAACGTTCACCACGCAGTAGGGATACACGACCGCACGCCGGTACGATGCTCATCCTTTTGTGTTATCAAAGCAGTCAGCAGTCTTCTGGATGACCGAACTGAAACTCAAACAAATGACTGCGAATGTCTTCGAACGTCTAGATAATTTGAAAGTTGCAGACTTCCAATTCCCCATTTTTAAGTCTACAGCCAAAACTTGGCTGAAAACTCCAAACTGAGTTATATACATGGGCACTCTTGAAGCATGGCCTAGCCACGGTATGCTGGTGAGGATTTGTGCATTTGCAGCTAAGTGGTAAAGATGAATTTAGAAAACAACAATTGAGAATTTGTTGTAGCTTCCTGACGAAGGCCGGACTCCGGCCGAAACGTCGAAGATTAAATCGCCCGTTGTTGCTGTTTTCACTAAGGGTTCTTTTCTTCTTCTATACCCACACCTTCGGCCCCCCGGCACCATGCCCGATATTTATATATATACATACATACATATATATATATATATATATATATATATATATATATATATATATATATATATATATATATATATATATATATATATATATATATATATATATATATATATATATTGAGGATTTGCTACTTTACAGGGGCGCAGTATGACGGCTAAACATTGTATACGGTGTTTATGAGAAATCCGAAACCGGCTTTTCGCACCGCAGAAATAAACTAGACATCGCGGAGAGCTCAAACTCCCTCAGAACGTAGCTCCAGCCGTTCGAGCAAGATGCCAAGGTTTCAGCACGTACCGTTATCTTATTCAAAAGTTAAAAATGATTTTTTGAAATTTTCAATTAAATGGGACCCATTTTTGTCCCTTTTGGGTTTCTGGCGCCACAGAGCTTCACGTATTCGAGAGCTTCGTCGGCCAGATTTTTTTATTAAAATTTTCAGAAAATCATTTATAACATTTGAATAAGATAACAGTTAGTGCTGAAACTATGGCATCTTACTTGAATGGCTGGGGCTACTTTCTGTTGGAGTTTCAGTTCTCCGCGATGTCTAGTTTATTTTTGCGGTGCAAGAAGCCGGGTTGGGATTTCTCATAAACACCTGGTATGTCCAAATAAACGAGAACCATTCATCCTGTAAAAATAACTTAGGAGTACTGGTAAATAACAAAAACTGTTACATAAAACCTCAAGCCGTTCTAGGCAATGTTACTAAAGCTAACAAGAGACGTGACATATAGGAAAATATATTACTGTTTTATTTTCTTGGTGCACAACACCGATAAAAACACGGTGTACGTGTTTTATGCCGAATCGTGCAGCCAGAAAGAAAGACCTACTGTACAAAGAGGAGGAGTAGTTGGGCTGAACCAATGACAAAAATCATGATGCTTCAACATCGGTCATGCCCGTCTACATATGAGTGTGGGAGAACGTTCTGGACTTTAAGAATATCTAACCGATTTCACTCTGACTTTAGACTTAAGCGCTCTTGGCGCGGCCGAAAGAGTAAGGGTAAGCAATTGGAGCGTGGTGGACGGCGAAGGTGACTGGGGCAGCGTGGACGGCGTGGACGACTGGAGCGGCGTGCACGGCGTGGACGGTCACTGGAGCCTTGACGGCGACTGGGGCTGGGCCCTCAACGGCAGAGGAGGCGTATTGCACGTCGGCTGGGGCGGAGGACTTGGTGCCTGGCTCATTGGTCTCGACGGTGGCGTGGAAGCCGCTAGCGTCAGCTGTGTACTTCACGGTACGGGCGATGCCGGAGGCATCGGAGTAGGTGTAGGATCCCACCCTAGCGTTGTTGGAGTCGGCGCTCTCCTCGTGGGCGATGCGGGTGCCGAACTCGTCGGTGTTGTCATAGGCAAAGCTGTATGGCTGAGGTGGCTGCGGGAAATAGGCGACAATACACTTACACTGTATTCACTCTGAGGTAAAGGAATTGCGGTTTCAAGGTCTCTTTTTGTGCCTATTTATTTAATTTCCTACTTATAGTCCATAATATTCTCGTTAAAGCGTGTTTCCAAAAATAGTTTAGTTTCCTAAAAAATATAGAGTAAGAAAATAAATGCTGATGAATACTGGCACCGCCCTTTGTTCCTTTGGCTTCCCCGAACTAAATGGGAATACTTGAACTTAATCAAAACTTGAAGTAATCTGTTTAAAGTAGCCTTTCAGAACTACTTGAAAGCCGTCAATGTTCTGGGAATTTGAAAGTTATTATTTCGAAGTGTGTTGGTGGCGACACAGAACAACCCATAGCGGTGGACTTTATTGAGGTTTTTGAATTATTTTAAATTTGACAGTCCCTAGGTACATTTTAATTGGACGTGATATTTGTTATTCCAATCGTATTCAAAATAAAAATGTCCTAGCATTTATCAGATAAATATTTCTGGTTCGTTAACTTTAATTATGCATCCAAGATCGAGATGAACTTCCGTCAAATGTTATAAGCGAAAATATGATCAAGGAAACAAATTTTGTCCGTTGCGATTCACACACCCTAATTTCAGGTGCTGAGTACTTTGAACAGCGCATCTACGCAATCATAGAAGACGATATCATACGTACGTATTCCTCAACAACCGCGGCAGCCGCGTAGGCGACGAGGCAGCAGAGAAGCACCTGAAACGATAAAGTAGGTTTTTTAGCGAATTGCCGCTGCAGGACCAATCGTACTTCGCTTGAAACAATGAGAGCGTCTCCCAGTCAGCCGAACCTTAGAGAACATGGTGTCAGTAAGGAAGCTGTTCCTCTTGCTAGGATAAAGGGAAGGAATTGGGTTGTAAAATGCAGGTCCGAGAAGCTTTTATATATGGACTGGCGCATTCCGAAACAGGCTGGGAGTCTTGTTAGCCGCAAGCTCAGCCAATAAGAACAAAAGGACGCAGTGTTGAAATCCGAACGCGTTTATTATGAGCATCGACATTTCTGAAGAGCAGGGCCGGGAAGAACATTGGTGCAGTGCCAAGTCGGTCACCCCGATAAGATCGCACAAACTCTGGGGCTTCTTCTGCCTGGTAATTTTGTTCCTCAATAGGAGCCTGCGATTAAAACATGCCGCGAATTAATGTCGTGTATCCGTTTTATGGGTTGATTAAGGCGTATCGGTGTTGTATGACTAGGTGGGAGGTTGAGACCGCGTTTAATGTAAAGTCATAATAGCAGGCTGATTTGACTGCACGTGTTGCAGCCCGTGAACAATGCGAGAATCGCAAGTCTTAAATCATTTACAAATCGCGAAAGTCTATTCGAGGTCAGCTGAAGTAGCATGTGGGTGTGAGTTTTCAATCTGAAGCGTTCCCGTTGTACGCTGTTTTATTGTATTTTATTGCGAATCTAAGCGATTTTTTTAAACACTATTCCAGCAACGTTACGTTCGCAGGTAGTTGTAATTCAAACTATAACAATACATGCACCACTACAGAGGTAGCACAAGGACGACATCGGCGCGCTTGAGCACTTATCACAGACCAGTCTTGAGTACGTTCCCAAAGGAAATATTTCATTAGAATAAAAAAAAATATATATTCCCTTTAGAATTGTTATCGTATATTTAATTTAATTACTCGACTTCAACATTAGCAATTTAACATAAATTTTTAAAAAAAGTCTTTACGTTTTTTTACGGTTTACAAGTGAGAGTCATTTGGATATTTGTTTAGTACATTTCAGCGAACTGGCTTAAAAAGCGTCCGTTTGCTCCAATTCTATTCGTGAAGGTTAGGGTACTCTAACTTCACTGTCTGGTACAGGCTATGGTGCCGCAGTGGCGCGTTCTTAAGCAAGGCGCTCGTGCAATCACAAATTTGATGGCATGTTTTATTTTTTTTCCCAGCCAGTTTGTGGAAGTTCGTGTATGTTCGAAAAAATATTCAGGGACAGCAGAAGGAAGTAAAATTGAAGCAAACAAAAAGCACATCCATTTAGTTGCAGAAGTGTACAAAACATGATACACGCTAATCCTGTGACTGGTTTCGAAAGAAGGAACTTGTAAATAAATTTAAAATATCGGGTCGTGTTGCATATTAGTTTTGGTTTTGAGTGGCACGGCCAAATCAGAGGTTTTGTCTAAATAAATAACCATAAGAAGGTGTTGAAAAATAGAAAAATAAAAAAAAAAAACATGTAGCAGCGAAAGACACATCGACAGAGAGAATGTTGAAAGCGATGTAGAGAAATAGGTAGGAAACTGGAGTGTCAATATTGTGGAGCGAGGTCAACTCAGGTTAAAATAAAAACGGTATATCTGCCTCAGACAACCCGAGCGATGGCAAGGAAATGACATTCCCAAAAGAGATCTACATAAAGGAGTTGTACCTGCGTGTCCTTCGTTCCTACGTCTTTATACTTTCCATTTACGAGTTTTAGAATAGATCAAAAACCATATTTTTCCCCATCATTTCATTCTTGTTTCGGGGAATCATGTTGTATTCAATCACAGTTTTCTTTTGGTGTTCGAAGGTTTTTGTTTTGTTTTTTTGTAGCAGGGTGACTCCACGTTTCCTTTTTCCCCGTTACACTCACGCTGTGATTATGAGACTTATCCCACTCATTAGCCCCAAATTAAGATTTGCTTCGGACAGAGAGTTCACAATTAGGAGATTGAAGCACTTCGTTGGTCTTTCGCAGAAGTGTAGTGGTGCCTGGTATTTGGTTTCGTTCCCCTCATTACTTTTTGACTACTCCAAATTCCTAATTTGCACTCTCCATTTGGAAGAAACGTCTGTCAGAGGTGGCATAAATTTGGTAGTGGTGCAATTTAAAACTCGCGACACAGAAAAGCTGGAGTGAAACAAAAAGTCAATTAGTTGCGTATATTGCAAAAATAAAGTGTCACACCAACAGCACCAGGCAACTTCGTCCCAGAGTGTGACCATTATCCATCGTTTCCTATACTGTAAATTACTTTGTTTTTGCGAAATTGTGACTTAAGAAATATCTGATAGGAATTGATCACGCGAATATATTGTCCATAACAGTTATATGAAATACTACGAGTCGGAAATCGTTTTGCACGAAAAGATTATTCCCAAACCTACGCTGTGCAAAAATTGCAAAATATCGAGAGGATTATATTATCCATATTCATTAAAAAAAAAATAAAACCTCCCCCCCCCCTCCTATCAGCTTTGGTTATGTGCAGTACGCTGAGGACTGTGTTTTCGCACGCGGTTGTTGAAGGTCGCTATGTGGGAGGAGTGGCAAAGTCTACCTCACAGACCCTACTTATCTCCATGACGCTACATTTGTTCAGTAAAAGGAAAAACTAGCTTAGTGAAAAACTATTCCAGCCGATGAAACTCTAAAAACCGATTGTGCCACTGAACTGGCAAAAACATATATGGGGGCGTTTTTCTTTTCATTTTAGTGAAATAAAGCATTTTATTATACATTCCGGTAATTGAAACGTTTAAAAGGTCCGCGCCAACGCCTGTCCGCCTTTGCTTGTTCAAATACTCTGAGCATGTATAGGACACGAGTGCTGACGTCAGTGTTCGGCGAGGACTCGGATCCAATCACGCTCTTCGTGCCCAAGCAATGGCGACTGCCAATGTTGCTTGAGGACTTTCGAAAAAAGTCTATCATTCATCGTTTTCATGTGATCGTGTGAAAATAAAGAAGGACTGCACACTTCGAATAATATATATTTTTATTTTTTATTCTTTCTATAAATGTGTAATTGACTTTTCGATCTTCCTACTAAATGAATTGCTTCAATAATATTGAGGCCTTTGACGTGATTGCTCCACGCGAAAGCAAAGTGATGAAATAATACACGTTATTTTAGTGATTAATTTATGACAAATAATTTCATTATGTGTATTCACTTACGCGCAAGCTTGACTAAAACAGGATATATCCGTGCTTTAAGATTAACCTTCTAAGTAAATACATTAGTTCTCATTCAAAATACTGACGTGTATAAAATAAAAAAGGGATTATCGGGTGCTTTGCTAACGTTTCGCCTTGTGTACGTTTCCACGAATTGAAGTGTTAGCATAGGAGAGCACCTTTCGCAAGGGGGCTGCTAAAGCGGGCCTCCCCTCAAATTGGGTGAAGCCGGTATCAACATTTTACCTAACAACGAATTATGCTGACCTTTGGTTTCTTCAGGCTTACAATAAATAACACGCGAAGTCAAAGCTATTGAATGCTCTTTCTTGGTAGGCACTGCCTGAGCAATCCGTGGTATTTAGGAGTTCGAGTTGTTTGGTTGAAATATGTGTATTAGTGTACCCACTGTGAAAATTAGTTGACAATATAAATAAAAAAATAACAGATGTTTAAGCATTACTTGTTTGAATTTATTTTGTCTAAGGCGGGCAAGAAGTTCTGTCCAAACTTCCAGCTAAATAATTTACGCTTTCGTATGGCACTATTGCCATCATGCGTGGTGGCACGTGAACGGTAGTAAAAGATTACTAACGTTAACCAGATACAGGTTGAAGTTATGTCATCGTTTCACCAGCGTGCCTGCGCGCTCGTCCTTCTTTCGATCATGAGGCAGTTAGTCTCTCCTACGCCAATTTCACCTTAATTCAGCAGATGTGCCCATATCAATATTTATTTATTACCAAACTCTTACTGACATCATTGTGTTTGGATTGAGTTTTGTTGACTGAATAATAATGACGTGAATTAAAATTCAACGTAAAGGATGGGAAAGTTTCGTGAATTCGTGAACATTTCGTACGTGAGATATAAATTAGTTGATACATAATTTATCATTAAAATTTACTTATTTCATATAACTCCGTCACCGATAGGGTAGATCTATGACAAGGATGAGAGAATCCTGATTGCCTCCGTTCTTCACACGTATATTGTGCAGCCACTTATACTAAAAATACAGGGTCACGCTGTAGTCATGCGCAGTGTGCTTTGTTGTCACTGCAATGCTGCTCATTCACGTTCTTTCGTTCTACAACGAATATTTGTGCAGTCACATGGTGCGGAATGTGTGTATTCAATGTGTGTTCGGTGCTCGCCGACATATTTTAGTTTCTGTAAAAATGTTCGTTTAAACCTAAGTTCTTACATGAGTCGCGCACATTACCGAACAAGTGGATCATCGTAGTTTGTTGGTGCACAGATGATAAGTGGCATATTCATCGCAGTGAGAGAAAGAGCAGGCGGCGAGCCAGAAACGTGCCGGTTATCCTGTAGAGAATGCAGCGAACGAGCACGTTCATTTATTGGTGTCAGGCTTGATCAAGAACCTTGGCAAACCAGTGCTTCTCTTAAAGGGGTGCTGAAAAGGTGGTCGAATTCCAATGTCTGCAAGAGGAGGGACCCGGCGCCTCAGGTGAGAGTTTGTTGTTTTTCTAACTTGCTGGAGTGACGCAATAATCGTTAAAATTGCGTAGCCTCTCGATGTGCGCCAAGGACTGTCGTGGAAGAGAAAGGATATGAGAGCGAGAAAATTGGAAGAATGTGGGATCAATACTGGTCTGAGATGAGTTTCGCACGTAGGCGCTCGTATTTCTGTTTGATTTGAGGCATTCGCAACCTTCGTCAGGTTGAGGAACTACACGACTTCTATAACCCGTGTTTTAACTTTCTTCGGATGCTGTAGTTGCAGTGTTTAAACGTTCCGTTGCCGATTTCAATGTTTACCTCACTGATACGAGCGCTTCAAACGCAAGCTACCAGAACTAAGTTTTGCCCGATAGGCAACAAGCGAAATGCTATGTGTCCGTAGCGTGGCGAAAACTTCTGAACGTGTGTTGCGAAGGGGAAGCAGGAGGGAGTGAAATCAATAATTTACACCTTTGCGGTGTCGAATCGTTGAACAATAGGCAAACATAAATGGGTTTGAACTGTGGTGAAACGTTAGCTCTGGCAACGCCGAGGGCGCAAATTATTTGCTCTTCTCCACCTTTTAACATATGTTGATGTCTACAAAATAGTTAGGTGTAGTACGATTGCCTCGTGTGCAGAATCCCCGTCGCAAGAGCCCCGCGTCATTAGCCCCACGTTTTGAAAACCCCGCGTTCAATTACCCCGTCCCGTATTCCCCCCGTGCCAAAAGCAAAGTCCTCACTGACCCCGTCCCACCTTCTTCACGCTTCAACCAGCATTGTTCTGTCTTTACCTGATCCGTTGAGGGCCCACAAAGACAATGTTAAGTAAAATAAACAACAAATAAGGTTAACTTGAATCACAAAGAAACTTAGAATGACGTACAAGTGACCAATCGGATAAATCTGCATAACCAGTGATGCACCCATTGAATTATAGACTATATCTGCCTAGATAGATCAAAAAAGGTTTAGAACGACGTAACAATGGGACTGGTGTTTGGTGCTGTATATACGTAATAAGTATGGCGCCATGAGCTCTGGGTTTAACATTTTCGACAGAACCGTCAAAGCTGTGAATCCGCGCTTTTTTTCAAAGTCGACAATTGCATTTGGTTTAAAAAAAAAAAAAAAAACGCAGACGAGCTGGTGAGTGACCTTCATAGTAACCCTGAGACGTAGGAACAATAAAAAAACGAAGTTCGTTGTTCTGTCTGTATTTTTGTTTTAAAATTTTCCTACGTCTTTGGCTCAATGCTTTGGTTCAATGCTTATTCATAAAAACTGTAACTTTAAATGTTTGCCGGTGACTGATATATTATGTTTGTTCTCTTTTTGAACGTCAATCGTTATTTGAGTCACGGGTACGGCATGATCGTTACACAGGAGTTAAAAGCAGAATAATCTGTCCTCGGGCTGAGGACCGAACTACCTGACATTGGGGATTCGCGTCATGGGCTTATGAGACTGGGGCTTTTGAAAGTGGGGCAAAAAGGCCCGGGTGTTTGCCGCGAGGCATTTGACACGGGGCTTTTGACATCGGATGCTTTCGTGCACCACCCAACTAGTTGTGGTTATACATGATCGAAACAAGGTCTTTTCATTGAATAGAGCGGTAAAGTGACCTGGATCCCAGCAACATTACTGCCCTAACAAATTTGGGCGCTCTCTCTGCGTTGCAGTCAGGTTTTGCAAACAATTGCTACGTTAATCTTTTCCACCTCAGGGTCAATGTTTGGGTCGACTTTCTAAGAAAAACGAAAACAAAAACTATACTCCGTTTCACCTTCAGTCCGAGCGCAGCGGACGCTAGAAGCCATCGCAGCCAATCCAGCGTGGAGAGAGTGTCATGTGACCTTGAGCTCCCTGCGTCGCTCTGCCCAACCGGCAGGTCACGCGATTTCCTCCCGGCGCTGGATCGGCTGGACAGCTCGTGGCGTCCACTGCGCTCGGACTGAAGGTGGAACGGAGTATAACAAGTTATTTTTTAATATGTGTATATTTGTTTTCTCAAAATACACTCCGTTGCATGGCGTATTGTCTGTATCACCACCGCCTTAATTGACTCGGAGAGATGAGTGATAGTTTCCCAACAATCTTGCGCACTCACAGGCTACAAAAATGTTTTCCATGTGCCCTGGAATAAGTAATTAATGTTTTATTGTTTAAACAAGAGTCGCTTAACTTGCTTATACGCAATTTTATAACGATGCTCAGCGTAAGAGGCAAAGAACTGCAGATTGCCGCCGCCAACATATTTCTTTTTAAATTTAGGCCGCTCTTGAATTTACATAGTAGCGGTGGAACGTCAAATTACACCGAGGTCGGTTAGCAGCACGCCCAGGTTATATAAATCAAGATGTAATTCATCAGCGTTTTTATGACATAAGAAGCTGCGAGTCAAGATTTATAAGCACGTTCACAGCATTCTTCTTTTTTCAAGGGTAGGCCACAAAATTCAAGAAATTCTGACCGGAATCCAATTTCATACTGTAATTAACGGGTTGCCCATTAGCCTTGGTCTGTCGATACTAATTGTACATATAACCAAAGCCAACTGATTATCCCGATGTCTCCCCTTATCTTCAACTCCATGTTTTAGGCAGAAATGGGGCAGAAGATAAGTGCAATAGTTTACCCTCCATTATTATTTTTCGCTCGTCATACTGGGCAAATTAGACAGCAGGTGTATCTTTGGCTTTTGCCATAAGCTGAGAACAAAGAAAACTCACCTCATCAGGTTGACTAAACGATAAATATTTGTACAGAACAAATATCGCAGCAAATATAGGTTCCACCTCCGAAAAAAAAAAAAGAAGAAAAACACAGTAAACATGCATGTGGTATAGTGAGGTTTATTTAAACTTTACTGTAGATTTAGCCTGGAAGAGGGAGAAGGAGATGGGAGCGAAGAAAACAGCTTAGGTGACAGGGGAGCCGTGGACGGAGCGCACCACTGGGGCAGGCTATACGACCTTGAGAGCTACTGGAGCTGGCCCCTAAACGGCAGAGGAGGCGACCTGAACGTCAGCGGGGTTGGAGCTCTTGGTCCCTGGCTCGTTGGTCTCGACGGTGGCGTGGAAGCCGGTGGCGTCGGCGGTGTACCTCACGGTACGGGTCATTCCGGCGGCATCGGTGTAGCTGTAGGATCCCACCCTAGCGTTGTTGGCGTCGGCGCTCTCTTCTTGAGCGATGCGGGTGCCGAACTCGTCGGTGTTGTCGTAGGAGAAGCTGTATGGCTGGGGTGGCTGAAAAAAAAAAAATGAAAGACGTTTACAAATTTCTGTAGTGTGAAACTAGAGCCCAGCTCTTGAAGTGGAGGAGAAGAGGGTATGCCCCTTTTCCTCCTCCTACCCTCCTTCTCCTCCGTTCCTGCTCTCCTCCTCCCCCTGCTCCTCCTTCCCTCCTTCTTTCCTCCTCCTCTCCCCCTGCCACTGAATTTGTTCATGGGTGACGTCACACGAAGTCGTGACATCATTTTCCCCGATGAATTTAGCGGGAAAACTGAATTGGCGTAGAGGTCACGTGACGTGAATTTCCCCGCAAAGTTCAGCGGGAAAATTTCCCCGATAGCTTTAGCAGAGAGACGTCCCATAATGGAACTGGCGTGGTTACGGCGACGCCGCTCAACCCGGAAACGGGCGACTAAGAGCTGCACTCTAAAACGTGATGTACCGTTGAATTCACAGATCCCTCCTAGCTAGAAACTCAGAAGCCCTTGTTTTAGTTTTTCTATGTTACCATTCGTTTATTGGTACAAAATTAATACCTATAAAAGTGTTAATTCTGGGACATTGTGTTCATAACTAGGCCACATCGATAGAGAAATAATATCTCCGCTTTTGAAGATTTTACTTCGGAAGAGCATTTACTGTGAATCGAGCTTGCCCGCTTATGCTGGTGCCCCAGATGTGTATTTTTCACCACATTGGGCGTTGTGTTGACAGCCTTTCGATTATTGAGATGACCGCTGGACACTGCCTATCGTTTTTAAGCGCAATCACTGTGCCACTATGTACTTACATATACAGGAAGGACCCATCAGAAATTTGAACGATTTTAAATCGAGAATCAAGATTTTGCCTCAATGCAAAACCTTTAGATAAGAAAAAACTTATTTTAGAGCTGACTTTACATGTCTTAGAAGGTTTATATAATAAATGTTTAGTAAAAAATGTATGGATTACACCGCCGCTTACGATCCCGATGAATCTGTTATTTTTACTCACGTATTCTTCAACCACTGCTGAAGCCACACATGCGAAGAGACAGCAAAGAAGGACCTGAAAGACGAAGGCAAAGTTACGTTTCGCGGACGTGTTACTGTGCTCGACTGCGCAGAATTGTTTTGTAAAAGCAAAGCGTGAAATTCTTATTTTAAAGCGTCCGCACCTTGGAAACCATGATGAGAGATGAGAGAGATACTCCTCTGGGAAAGACACAGCAAAAACCTGAAGGTGACCGCTTCTTAAAAGGGCTTTTATACCGTTTCAGTTGCATTCCTATGCCGACAAAGAGGCCGTTAACAATTCAATCAGGTATGCAGTGCTAAGGTACAGGTTTTCAGATGCTGACGTGCCTAGAACGAGCATCGAGATCGGAGAGCGAGTTAGCGTAGCTGCAAAGACCCGTTCATTGCTAAGACGGACGCGGTGATAAGCACAGGTATGTGGCCTGTTCTACTGCCCTGATTGCTAATTTGGAGTGAACAGGAAATAGTAAAACTCTAAATGCCGTCGATTACTCTATTATGATTTTGTAAAAAGTTTTTGCATGAAAGGTTTTGTTCAATGTGTACATTGGAATGCAGAGAAACGTTCCAAGGTGCCCAATGAAGACCTGCTTCATTTCTTGTAACGATCTGGCATTTTATGAATTCCTCAATTTGGAGTATGCGGAAATTTGAGGAAGTTCTGTAGCCAAATTATATAATTAAGAGTAAAAATATAAACTCAACGGCTAAAGAAATAAAAAGAAAACTTCTGTTTTTGTATTTTGGTTTTGAACTTCAGTCAGGTGCGCAACTACGGTTTAACTAAATGATAGTTAATTCACACTGCTATAAGTACATAATGGCATTTATAGCAATATGGGTTGAATTAAGTTTTTATCTTTATTCATAGCTCTTGGGCTAATGAACAAGGCACTAAGTTGCCTGATATATAAAATGAAATAGATCAATTGTTTCCTTGATTTTTTTATATATACTTTATCAAGATCATACGAAAGAAAGCAAGCCCGCACATCAAATTTGTGTTACAGGATCATAGCACTTCAACAAATTAAATCCACATTTTTGTTAAAATAAAACCACCAATAAAAGTAAACTTTAGTGCGGGCAAGAGTATAGACATACATAAAACTCCGTTGCGCCATCGGAAAGGCAAAAAAGTACTTGTAAAAAGTACTGAGTAATATTCTAGAAGCTGTGTCGCAAGTGGAGGGCCATCAAAGTTCGAGCCCACAGGAGGATTAGAACACGGCAGCCTAAACTCTTGTAGGGCTTATTGACGAAAGAAGTAGTAAATTGTACGATGTGCTAGTTTGGTGTTTATAAAAAAATGTTCATGAACGTCTACAACTTCACATACTCATTATTTTTGCGCCTTTGGTGAACACCAAAACGGCGTCACATATCGATAACTTTTGTTTCAACGAAGATTGATCAATTTGTGCCTCTTTCGGAGGAAAGCTTATCAACAATCATAGCGTTGACCAACTGCGTTAAATAATCAATATTGCGATGTTGGTAACCGCCTATACGGGTTTGCTATGTGTTGGCACCATATTTAAATGCGAGATCCCGGTGCACATTTCACTCTATATTGGAGAATATAAATGTAATTCGATAAAGTATATCTCTCGAAATCATCTAGTACGCACCTACACCTTGCGCAATTTACTACAAGCAATTTCAATATAGCATATCTTTGTTTTAACCACGTAATAAACATGAGCAATCAAGTGCATATAATTATCAACGACACATATGAAATATTTATGTCAAAAGCACAGAATTAAAAGGCTGAGAATTGTAGGGGACACCATTTATTAAGTATTTTGACGGTCCTCGTGGTTTTAATACTTGATTTTGTATTTTATCGTCATTTTTTAATTTAAAGTGGTATTGTGGGATGATCGGAATTTCTCAGAACCCATTAAATACGCTATTCCTATGAAAATGATAATAATACAGACATGTGACGGCTCTATTGATGATTGGTATGCACGGTAAAGACTGTGGGACATTTAATGTTTTTTGTTAACTTAGATGCCATAACAGAAATAATGAAATATAAATTTAAAGGAGCGCTGTGAAACCGACACCATTATAACCCTTGGTAATATTACGGCTGACAAATATAGTTAGATGAAATTAAAGATTCCTCGTTTGTTCATAGACCGCTATGCAAAATATATTGTGTCGCGTTGGGAATATGAGAAACACGCTTCAGAAACTTTTACTATTACTAAGAAATATTATATTTGTTCCAACCATACCTTTTCTGGAATTATAGGAATTTATGTAGGTGGTTGGTGTACCGAAGGTTTCTGCATTATTGTGCTGAAAGTGGATAAAGGAAGGGGAGCAAATAACAAACGTCCCGGAATGTTGGGTATAAAACATTTCATTAAATGTATAAATCCTTATGGCAGTTTTTGCAGTTCCTGAGAAACCTTCAAATCCTGTTTAAAATTTTACGACTAGCTGACCCAGGAGAAGCAGTTATTTATTTTTACAAAAAGGTGTATTTAGTTTCACAGGCTAAAATTTCAATTACCTATAAAGTACTCTCCCACTGATCCGATGTACTTTTTGAGACGTTTATCCCAATGATTAAAATTTCCATTAAACTAGTTGATATTGATGCATTTCAGTGGTCCTGCAGCTTTCTGTTTCACGTCTTTCACATCAACAAGTCGTTTTAATTCGGTAAAATTTTTCATCTGGGTAAACAAAAACAGAAAAGCAACTTGCCGCAAGTTCGGGTGGATAGGAAGGATGGTGCACGAGAATCCTGCCCTTCCTGGTAAAAACTACTCAGCCCTCAACGCAATATGGTCAGGCGCGTTGCCATGGTGAACGAACCAGTCTCGAAACTACTCGGGTTGTTAATCCGCCCACACCGCGCAGAGTGTTCAGTATTTTCGTGCTAAAAACAGAATATCCTATGTGCCCCTGCAAAAGTACTTATTCGACCACGCCCCCTATCATATTTTTTTGTTTCCTCTAAAAAAATGTTATCAAAATTAAACCGTTTGCAATCGTCGTGAGGTTACAGAGCACGAAAGAACAACACGAGAGAAACACAAATAAAAAAACACAAGCGCTAACTTCTTCAAGAGGAATCACCAACTCGGCCTAGCATCCTTGTTAACGCTTGACTTCGGAGAAGAGGTCAAACAAAGAGGCAGAAGTATTGATAGGTATCAAAATGTTTAGTTTAAAGGCTAATTTCAGCCGTGCAGGAAACCTCACGACAAGCGTATTGCGCCAGGCGGAGAGCACAGTGAACGTCACTACAATTTAAACCTCTAAACATAAATACACTACTTAAAAATAATTATGCTTTCTTTTGGGCCCACCCTAGTATCACCTAAATTGAGCTAGAGGACAGGTACTTAGGTGGAAGTCTGTTCCAAGCCTTCACGGATCACAAGCCTCTACTTGGTTTGCTGAGACCTGCAAAGCGAATTCTAGTCCACGCTATGCCTCGACTCATTAGGTGGGCTCTCAAGCTTTCTGCATACAGGCACCAGCTTCCCTACAAACCGAGAAAGGATTTGGGTTACGCAGATGCCCTCAGTTGACTGCCAGTGCCGAGAAACGTGAGCCCTGGAACCGCCAAACCTTTCCGCGGTGCCACGGCTCTCCTGAGCCAATAAATATTATCATTATAATTATAAAATAAATTCGGAAATAATTGTATTTACTATAAATAATTTCCACTACGTATACGGAAGAAATTTATTGCGTAATTGGTATTTCAGTGTAAAAAGCAAAATTCGCAAGAAACATTAAGCGCGTATTTGAATTTTATTTAATCTCCTGTCCATTCAGGGTTCACACAATAGAGAAGAGTAGAATTTGTCTTCAAGGTGCATACAAGACGTTTACGTTTAATCCGAAGATATTTTTTTTAACGGAGGCGAAATTTAGAGCAACACTTAAAAAATACCGCAGGGACGTCGTCCTTGCGCTATTTCTTAATGGATTTGTCAAGCTCGTCGGATACTAGAAGAAGTAATTATCATGATAAGTAGACAAATTAACTAAAGTTTTCTATTTTATTTGTATTATTGGTTTGATAGGTCATGCTGCAATTGCAGTATAGACGGCAACAACTATCGGGGGCCAAACGAGTTGAAACAATTTGCAAAAGGTAATGGGTTTTAGAATATTCATCGATCACATTTCGCGTTTTCTTTTTCGCCCGATTTAAAAATTGTGCGCAAGAAGTGTGCAGCAAGCTCTACATATAATGAAGGTTAGAAAAGTGGTGTTGCCCTATTCAGTCACGTCATCACTTCTGTCCTTAGCGCATCCACCATGGGCACGCTGCCGTTATAGCGACGGCAACATACAAACGACTACATCACTCTTCCAAGCTTCATTTTATTCGGTGCTTGTAGCGCTCTTTTTGAGCGCAATTTTCAAATGGGGCTAAAAAGGCGAATAATTGACCGATTAGTATCTCAATCAGTTACTCTTTCGCTAATATTTTAAACGTTTCTGGCCTCTACTACCAAATGCTGTCAATACTGCAATTTCAACAGGAACCCTAAATTCAATAATTAAATTTGTAATGAACAGACTTTCGTTCCTTGGCCAACTTGCCATGAGACATTAACATTGCTAAGACAGACATGTGGATGGCTGAGGTGGATGTGGCGATGAGCTTGAGTATGCTGACTCCTTACTGCTTTGATTGCGAATTTGAAGCGAAAAGGAAATAGTGCAACTCTTAAAGGCCATCGATTATTCGGTCAAACTCTTGTGAAATGAGTTTGCTTAAAACATTTTGTTCTTAGTGCAGAATGCTGGGAAGCGTTCTAAGGTATTAAAGTGAGGGCTTTTTGTTTTGTGTTTGTCTTTTTTGTAACAATCTGGCATTAGTCGCTCAGTTTTATGGCAGACAGAAATTTAAGAAAGGTCCGAAGTAAAATTTCATGAAATTTCAACGTAACGACTAAACTAATAAAAATAAAATAAATTTTGCTCTTTTTACTGATATGGAATTTCCGAGCCAAACGCGTCAACGGTTGAACTGAATATAGTTAATTCGGACAGACAATATATATAATAATTCCTAAATATATTTATAAGAAAGATGCTTTAAATTTTATTTGTAATGTCTGTTCAAAACTCTGCAACAAACAGAGAGAGCAATAATTTGTCATATTTGAAGTGAAAAAAAGTAGATCAATCGTTGCTTCATTTTGTCT